TATTATTATTATTATTATTATTATTATTATTATTATTATTATTATTATTATTATTATTATTATTATTATTATTATTATTATTATTATTATTATTATTATTATTATTATTATTATTATTATTATTATTATTATTATTATTATTATTATTATTATTATTATTATTATTATTATTATTATTATTATTATTATTATTATTATTATTATTATTATTATTATTATTATTATTATTATTATTATTATTATTATTATTATTATTATTATTATTATCGGTTTGTAGAGATTCTTAAACTGTATTTATTTAATTATAGAGCTATTATTTTAGTTTTATTTTTTCCTCCATTTAACATGGGCGGGTTGCTTTAAGTAATTTTCCTGTTGAAAATTGTCTTAGAACTTGAGGCTTTATTAGGTTGCCTATAAAATATCTTCTGCCTTCTACTGAGCCTCATTCTTGAATATTCCTGGCTATTTTTCTTCACGTTTGAAAGTTACATCATTTTCAGTTAACATTCTTCCCTTGGTTTATCTTACAAATCATCCCTAGCGGCCAAGGGAAGTAATAGAAAGAATTTGGTAAATTGTATCAGTTTTGATTGAGCAATAGAAAAAAATCGATCTTTTGTTGATTCAGGATAAAACTAATATTGATGTGATACATTCAAGAATTGCACATGAAATTCATTAAGAATCACAAAGTATACTAGTGTAAGATTATAGTATCGTAAGTTAAGGTTCAAGAGTTTTCCATTGTTAAAATGTTATGATAAGCGATTACAAACTAGTTGTTTGAACACAATTAGCAATAGATCTCGAAGTTATCACAATAAAGGAAATGCGGAATAAAATAGAATCCCACGGCTAATATTTAGAAATTTCGCAATGAGTTACCTTGCTCACTCACACTCAAGTGGGGCTTAGCGGGAGAAAGTCTTTAGCAAACCCAACGATGCCACGAGGATGGTAGCAAACCCAACGGCCTTGAACCACGGAAAGGTTGACGGTGGCGAGGACGGCGGGAACGATTGACTGTTGATGTTCCAATCGTAGCTTGGGCTTCGGCGGTCGATGACGTCCGCAAGAATCGGCACAAATCGTTCCAAGTACTCTTCAACGGTAGAGTCGTCTTCAAATCCCACGTCAAAGAATGGGGATCGTAGGATATTAAGGCTTCCGTCGGCGTTGAATACTAATCCTCACTCAAACTCCGGGTCCGCCATACATGCTTGACGTTGTAGAATCCTTCAAGGAGAAGAGGATTAAGTGGCGGTGAGGGAGAGTCCTTGCGTTGGAAGGAGGAGGAGGAGGAGGGAGGAGCCGGCGGGATTTCCAAGGAGAAGGGAGAGTTCGGCCAAGGTGAGAGAGAGGGGCGGGTGCAATGAGAGAGGGGATCTAGGTTAGATGAGTGTAGCAAGAGAATTACTCAAATATGAAATTAATCTCAGATTTTAGTAAATTTTGAGGGAATTATTTGAGACAAATTTCAAATTTCAAATGTAATTAAGGGGGAGTAATGAGCACTTAATGGAGCCCATCAATAGGGGGGCCGGCGGGTTCACTAGAGGAGGGAGAGAGGGTTTCAATTCAAAACCTGAAATTTATTTCAGGATTTTGAATGAAAAGGGGGGAAGATTTATTTGAAATTCAATTTCAAATTAATGGGGTCATTAATGCATTAATTGAAAAATTAAAGGGAGGGGCCATGCATGGCCGACGGCATGTGGAGAGGGGGAGAGGGAGAAATCAAATGGAAGGGGTTTCCAATTAATGATGTGGAAAATGTTAAGTGGCTCCAATTTAACTTAAATTGAAATTGAAATTCGTCATGAAAACTTTTCTAAATTGGAATTCCAAATTAAGAAAGAATTTGAAATTTGAAATTCAAATTTCAAATTTCAAATTTGAAACTTGTGTAGGGATGGGGTTGGACGGGTGGGGGAAGTCGCCGGCAAGGTGGCCGGCCGGGGCCGTGGAAGTGGTCGGCGGCGGGTTCCTC